AAAAAAAAAAAAAAAAAAAAAAAAAAATATAATGATGGTTAGGCTCCTGCTAGGGGAGTTCAGTGTTTTAAAAACATTTGTATGTTTAAAAAAAATCATTTTCTGGCCTGTCGTGGTGGCACATGCCTGTAATCCCAGCACTCGGGGGGCTGAGGCAGGAGGATCACTGTGAGTTTGAGACCAGCCTGGACTACACAGTGAGTTCCGGAGCAGTCTGAACTACATAGTGAGACCCTGTCTCAAACAAACAAACAAACAAACAAACAAGTAAAAAAATCATTTTCTGGTGTTTTCATTCTAATCAATAAAGGAGGCTATTTTTTGTATAAATTGGAATCGGTACAACAACACACTCAGCAGATCAACATTTTCACACTCTTGTTCCCAAGAAGTTCATGTAACCCTGATAGCTGCATCCAGTACATCCTGGTCTTTTTCAGTGTATCTTAAACCAGTCTGCCCTGTGGTTCCCCAGCAGCATGGCCAGCAGCGAGGAAGGAATAATTCAGAAAGTTAAGGAACATCTAGGTCATGGTGTCCAAACCAAAATAAAAGATCTTAGTGACTACAAACAACACACATAAGTTCTAGAAGTCTGTGTAGGCAGAAAGGTGTGATTTCCAGCTCAACATGTTTGTTTCTAGTCTAATAGAAAAGAAAGAAAACATGAAGTTATGCGTGGGCAAATGATTACAAAGGGAAGGGCAAAGTTTGCATGGGGCAGAAGGTACAAGAAAGAATACAGAGGGGAGAAAAAAAAAGTAGTAATGGAAAGAAAAGACCTGCAGTGCTCTGGGAATACTCTCACAATTAAGGGGGAAACCTCTCGAGATATTTAGGAAGCCATGCTTTATTTTGAAACAAAACCTGGCGAACCCCCAAGATGCAACAGCAGTTCAAGCAATGGGAATATTTAGTGTTCATTGAGTTCTGCCAATAGTCTGGCCACTGGTCTAACTGCTTTACAGCAGGTAATTCATATAATACATTATAACTCCACCAAGGGAATCCTTTACCCCTCTTATTTTACAACTGGTGAAACTCAGGTACAAAGCATGTGCAGCTTTCCCTGGCACAGTTAGTTAAGTGACACCTCATGTAAGAAAGTATCTTCCCTAGCAACTCTGCATGTGGTCTTTAGAATAAAAACACCTTTAGAGGCTAATTTTTTCTTTTTCTTTGGTGGTGGGGAGCTCTACATGTAAGATACAGAGAAGTGTGTTATTGTTTGGAAATTCTACAAGAGAGAAATTGTTGGTTCTTAGCCCAGCCTTTAGGAGGTCATGCCAGGGATTTAGCTCTGGTTCTGCTGCCTGACTTGCAAGTGCAAGGTCCTGAGTTTGATCCCCCATACCAAAAAAAAAAAAAAAAAAAAAAAAAAAAAATTCATAGGAGGTCTGAAATTTCATATTGCATACAAAAATTAAAGACATTTGCTCAGAGGCCACAATAAATGCAAAGCCACTTCAAGTACATCATTTTGTCCTAGTGGGTTGATGGCTTAATTCAGGAACTACATTATGATTGCAGGCAGCTATAGGCTGGAAAGTCAGAGCAACTTTGGTGTCAAAAGTTTGCTTGTTTACAGTTGATAAATCTGTTCCTCACCCATACTGAGGCTTCCCCTGAATTTTGGGGAAGTGGGGGAGAATGGCAGCATAAGGGTGGGGGCCCTACTTCACTTTTGTACAGACAGAGGAATTGGGCTTCACATGCTACTGATACCACCTACAGATCATTCAATCCTTTGGCACCCTTCCTAACCCCAGTCCCAAAACAAAGAAGGCATTCACAGCAGGAGGTAAAAGACCGGTAGGCCCTGGGTGAGCCTGGCTTGCAAGAGACGCTGAGGACGGAGCTGGCTCTGCCTCCCTGCACATGGAGCCAAGCAGTCAGCTTACAGGTGATCCATCCTCAATAAAGAACAGACTCAAGCCTCACCTGGGTTCCCAGCCAGTGCTTCAGGGGTCCCAATTCAGGGCCACCTACCACCCTCTCAATTCTGTGGTATAAACATGAAATCCAAAGGATCACACCTGCTCCCCTTCTCCCTCGAATTCACTCAGCTCACAGAGCAAGTTAAGTGAGGGAGATGATAGGGTCCCTAGTGGTCACTGTGCCTACATGGTCACAGAATTGAAACTGTTCCCTAATCCTAAATGCAGGCCAGTGAAGAGGGTACTGCCATCCACATTTCACTGGTGGGAACATACCCAACCTGGGATTTTTGAGGGGGAGGGAGGCAGGGGATTGAATCCTGGATTCCAACCCAGGGTTTAATGTTGCTTCATTTTGCCCATTTGCTGCATATTTAAGCGCTGGCTATGTCCCAGGCCAGCATCAAGGGCTCAGAAAACAATGGTGAGCAAAGACAACTTTGTTCTCATGACACTGACGGTCTACCAAGGGAACAGACATGATAGTTTATGTAAAATTGCATCAGGGACAAGTTTTACCAAAGCCTCTAGCAAGGAGACTCAAGTGTATCAGGGAAGGCCTCCCTGAAGCAGCAACAGCAGCTAACTTGAAATGACTAGGTGATGAAGATGAAAAGGATCCTAAGTGGGAGAGTGCATTGCAGAGACCCTGGGGTGGCAGTGGCACAGTGAGGGTGAGTCTAAAAGGCCAGAATTGGCTGGCCATGATGGTACACACCTAAAATCCCAGCTCCTCAGGAGGCTGAGGCAGAAGGAACACAAGTTGGAGGCCAGCCTGGGCCATTTAACATGACTCTGTCTCAAAATAAAAAGGGCCGGGGCTATAGTTCAGTGACAAGAGCACTTGCCTAGCATGTGCAAAGCCATGGGTTCAATCCTTGGAGGGGTGCAGGGGAGGAAAGAAAGGCCAGCATTGAAAGATTTTTCAGAGAAAAAAGGGCCAAGTGGCTGGAGGGCAATGAGCAAGGGGTTGGAGTGGGTACCAAGGTGCAAGAGGCTGGAGAGGCCATGGGGCCAGACCCTGCAGGGTCTTGTAAGCCCCCAAGAAGTTCCCAGGACAATGGGACTTTTGAAGGGCTTTAGACTTCTGGGAGGAAGGGGGAGGGCAAGTGGAAATGACATCAGATTTGCATTTAGGAAATACCCCTCTGGGCCCACTAAGAAAGGGCTGGAGTAGGGCAACTAGAAGGTCATGAGGTTAAAAAGAGAAGAGGCCAGTATTGAAAGAGATTTTTAGGAGGCAAAATATCAGATAAAGGATTGTATGTGAAGGGGAGGCAGGTGTCATCCAGGATGACTCTAGGTACTGATTTGGGGGTTTCTGAGGGCACTGGTGGTAGCACTGCAGAGTTGAACACTAAAATATTCTTCCTTGTATCCACACTGCCTTACGCTAAAGATTTGAAGGTGTCCCTGGAAGAACAAGTTCATACAAAAACAAATAGCTTTAAAAGGGCAATACTTTCAGTTGCCAAAATTAGTGAGTTGCCAAAATTAGTGAGGTGCACTGATGGCGTTGCATGATGCTAAGTCATCCTACAGTGGGCAAATTTCCCCTTGTCAAGAGTCATTGCACTCTGGATGGCAATGGCACACTGGAAAAGAAACACAATAGAGCATGCTGAATGCATGAATCATAAGAAAACAGATGTTCTCAGATAAAGCTGAATGAACAGGCTGCTGTCTCCACTCACATTTTACACTCAGTTGGCTCAGTTCCAACTTTTTTGTGGGGAGGGGCTTTGAAGTCAGGTCTTTGTGAGTGCTAAGCACGCACTTACACTAAGCTACACACTTGACCCTGTAAAGTTTTTTGGTGGCGGGGGTGGAGTGGTTTCCAGGAAGCATTTCCCCCCAAATCCGAATAAAATCAATGATCTTCATGTCAGCCAGCAGCACGCCTCATTCCCCGGTCGAGTCTTTCTCCTTAGTCCCACACCCCGTCCGTCCCCTTCTATCTCCTCAGCGTTTTGCTGCCCTCACAGCACAGATCTCTGCGGAGGAAATGAACCTGTTTCCTCTGTCATCTTTCTCTCCATTAGGAACAAATTCCACAAAAGCAGAGCCCTTGCCTGCCTGCTCTACTAGACTTTAGGTCCCCAGCGCCCTGTCCTGCTCGGAAGGAGGGAGTTCTATTATTTCAGAGTGTCAGTGGTTCACAGCTTACAAATCTACCACTTAGACCGCTCACTTCCGCGTAGCCAGGGGTCTACGCTTTCCCGCGGACGAGTGAGGCGGTCTGCGCAGGCGCACCGCCAGCCCCGCCCCCTGACGTCACGCGGCCGTTACGGTGCTTGGGCGTCGCCGCGCGCGCAATTTAAAATCAGCTCGGGAGACGTCGAGGTCAAGATGGGCCCTCCCGGGCTAGGTGAGGCCCGGCTGGTGCTAGCCGTAGCGAACAGGGTCTTGTGTGAAGCGGCGCCCCGGGTGGGCAAGTCAACAGGCGGACCTGAACAGCGCATGGATAAGTTTAGCCCGCTTCTAGGCCTGTGGACCTGGACAGAGGCGGGCACGCGGGGGGAAGGGAAGGGAAAGACTGGCCGGGCGCGCGAGCGCTAGGCCAATCAGGACGCGTCTACGGCGGCGCTGGAGCGCAAGCTGAGTTGCCCAGCTGCTGGGTCCCGAGCTCCTACTAGGTGTCTCTTGTTAACTAGGTGGTTTTCCTGGACTGGATGTTAAGTTTCCGGGTCTTGGAATTGTGGTTACCGCTTAACAAACATGCTTTTTTTTTTTTTGGCTTTCATTCAAAAGTATTGAGCGGTCCCTTTGGGCCAGATCGTAAGTAAAGAACCAAACGAATGAGATTTATGCCTTCCTATACGGGAAATAGTTTCAGTGACTGAGACTATCCGTGAGTGTTGCAAGAAGGAAGAGATTGTCAATTATTTCATGTATTGCCGAATCCCAACAGTGATAAGACCTGAGAAGTGACCATAGGGTTTGGCAACATAGAAGTAGAGGTTGATCGCGGTAAGGCTTTTCATGAAGCGATAAAGACGCCATTCAGATCGGATGGATTGAAATATGAGTGGGAGGTGAGGAAGTAACAGGAACGGTTTTTGAGCTCATTGACAATCTGTTGAATGAATAGGTGTATAATGTTAAAGGCAGAGAGAGAGATACCAAAGAAAAATTCGGAGAATTAAAGCATGCCTCTAGTTCTCCAGTTTCCTTTGTAGACAGGTTTCTCCTTCAGTGCTTCCTATTTCTGATGAGGTCTCTTCTACCAAGTTTTAATTCCTCTTCCCACCCTGCAGCACCCATGTCCACATAGTCATAGATTGTCTCAATTTTGTTCCTTTCCATTGTGTCTTTTTGTTTTGAGCTGCATGTTAATTATTCTCTTGAGTTGCTGGGAAGCCATGAAGGGAACGTGTGAAGTTCTTGTATTTATTCCTTTTATCCCTATTCACTCCTGTTCCCCTCTGTTCTCATGGACAACCATCTAGTGTTTACCATGTTGCATTTTAGCATGTTTGTGTTATATCTGTATTACCAATTCTGAACCAGCTAAAGTGTGTGTATGATGGAGATCAAACCTGGGACTTGAACATGCTAGGCAAGAACTCTATACTGGCCAGGTTTATGGGGGGCGGTGAAGATGCTTATTTAAAATTTCACCAGGGCCAGGAATTTAGCTCATTTGTGCTGTGCCTGCCTTGAAAGTGCAAGGTCCTGAGTTCAATCCCTGTTACAGGATAAATAAACAAATTAAAATAAAACAAAATTTCACTAGCTAGTAAGTGATGAGCAGGGTTAAAGCAAGGCCTTCTGATTTCTTAAATCTAGAAATTTTCCCTCCAGGTAGGTTCTGAGTTCCTTCATTGTTCTTCTAGGAATATTCTTTTCTTTTCTTTCTTTTTTTTTGGTACCGGAAATTGAACTCCGGTCCTTGCGCTTGCAAGGCAGGCAGCCGAACCACTAAGCTAAATCCCCGACCCAGGAATATTGTTTCTTTCCCTACTATAATAGGGCATAGCCCTACTCCTGTAGTCACACCTTAAATCTTGTTTCTGTTTTTTTTTTTTTGGTTTGTTTTTGTGCTGGGAATTGAACCCATCATCTCTGTTAGGCAAGTGCTATATTACTGACTACATCCCCAACCTTTTTTCTAAAAGTTTATGTTGAGACAAGGTCTTTCTAAGTTGCTTGGGCTGGCTTCCCACTTGAGATCCTCCTGTCTCAGCCTGTTGAGTAGCTTGGATTACAGATGTGTGCCACCACGCTCAGATACCCAGTTAGGATCTTGTTATTAGCAATAGTTGCATACTTTGTCCCCTCTGTTTTTGTTTGTTGGTACTGGGGATGGAACTCAGGCAGATGCAGTGCTGCTGAGCTAAATCTCTGGCCATGTTTTTGATTTTTTGAGACAAAGAATCTTGCTAGGTAGTCCAGACTGGCCTTGAACTCTGTAAACCAGGCTGGCCTTAAACTCCTGGCAATCCTCCTGCCTCAACTTTGTCACCTCAATCTTAAATACCCCACTTCTTGTGCCACCCATCTTTCCAGCTCACTTCCTCTTGATTCCTGACTGGGAGTCTTGAACCAGCAGATCTGTATTTTACTGCTTTTTGCTGTCCGCTTGCCTCTTGCATCCTTGTTCGCCTCTTGGTCCACATCCGTGGTTGGTTTGTATAAACAGGATCTTTCCCCTTACCCTCCTCTTGTTTCCTTGTACTTCCCTGACAAAAAGCAGAACCCTGCCTAATCAAACTGCCTACTCTGCAGGCCTAATGATGGCACCAGTTCCTGCACACCCAACTGCAGTGAGAGAAAAACCTCCAGGAATGCTAAAGGATCTCAAGGGGACTCTAACCCCCTAGCAGTTGTGCTTTGTTTCCTGGTTCATTCTCCTGCTACTAGATGATGATTTCACACCTTCCCTTCTTCCCCAGGTCCTCCCACTGCTGGATTTTAAAAATTTACTTCTTACTTAGAATGAAAGAAAAAAAAAAAGTCAAAACAATCAAAATAGAACTTTGAGCTAGACAGTGGTTCTACCACCTGCCTGGCAAGCACCTGAGTTCAAACCCTGGTACCAAAAAAAAAAAAGAACTTTGAGCTAGAGGCCATGGTGCACAGCTGTAATCCTGACATTTCAGGGGCTGAGGCAGGAGGATCATGAGTCCCACCTGAGCAATTTAGCTAGCTCCTGTCTCAAAATAAAAAAGGGCTGGAGTCGTAGTTCAATGCAGAAGCCCTGGGTTCAACCCCCAGTACTGCAAAAAGAAAACCCAGAACATCAGCAAGCCCACTTTTGTAGCCACTGCCCTGTCTGCATCTGTGTTGGAGTATGCTGCCTTCTCTTGCTGAGGGTGGGCTCTCCATGCCCTCAACTGAGTCATCCTCTACATAAGTTAGTTGTTTAGTAACTTACCCCTTCTTTTGTATGATCCTGGTGGTAGGCTGAATAGTGCCCCCTGTGTCTTGACTCTGAATATGTTCACTTCCGTGGTGAAAGGGGCTTCAAGGATGTGATGAAAAGATGACCGTAGGTCACCTGAGTGGTCTCAGAATAAGTAGGAAGGTCAGAGTCAAGAGACCTGATTTCAGAAGCGAGGGTTAAGATGATCAAAGGGAGGGACCAGAGCTGAGGAAGTAGGAAGCCTTTTGGGAAAGACAAGGGAGCAAATTTTTCCTAAAGCTTCAGGAAGGAATGCCACCCTGTTAGGACCTTGATTTTAGGCTTTTTTTGGTACCAGGGATCGAACTTGGGTTCTTGTGCTTGCCAGTAAATCCCCAGCCCAAAATGACTTTTTTTTTTTTTTGTGGTACGGGGGGTCGAACTCAGGTCTTTGTGCTTGTGAAGCAGGCGGTGGAACCACTGAGCTAAATCCCCAGCCCCAGTTTTAGGCTTCTAACTTCCAGACCTATGAGAGAGTACACGTGTAGTTTTAAACTGCTGAGCTTGTGATTGGCTTGTCACAGCAGTGGTAGGAAACTAATGCTATCTCTTTGCTTCATTCTCTTTACTGTGCTTGTTTGTTGTGTTTTTCATGTTAACAGTTGCTTTCTTGGCCTCCCTTCCTACTGCTTTCCTCCCCTGAGTCCTTGGAAACATCCTCTGTATTTGTTGTCTCCTGTTGTATCCTTTCTAGTTTGGCTTTCTTTCCTGCTGTGCTGGGCACACTTCTCACGTCCTCTCCAGTAACCTGGAGCACAGCTCCTCACTCAGTTCTCCTCCTTATCTGATTCATCTGTCACTACAGATGGAATTCAGAGCCTTTGCACTGAGCTACAACCTCAGCCCCTTTCTTAATTTGCTTTGAGACAGGGTCTCACTAAGTCACTAAGTTCTTCAAACTGGGGTTGAATTTAAATTCCCCTGTCTCAGCTTCCCAGAGTGCTGGGATTACAGGCATGAGCCACCAACAGCTGGCTGTCACCTGAGTTTTAGAATGGTTTTCTCCCCACCATCCTCAACTCTTTTGCTTTTTCTGCTAGTCAGCTTTGGAAGTATCCTGGACTGCCTTCAACTTCCACTCTCTTTGTCTTTACTAATTTGGGAGCTCATCTAGTGTTGGGACTTTCAATACACCCTATATTGATGACTTCTAAATTCAGCTTCTAGCTTGGCCTCTTCCCTGAGTTCTAGGATTAAATCCTGCACTGTCCTTCAGTGTGTTGGGAAGCATCCCAGGCCCAGAGCCTCTGCGCCTCACACATGTGCTGCTCCTGTGGCCTCCCCTCTTGGCCCCTGGCAGTCCTCTCCTTAGGTGTTGGGGTGACCTGGAGTTAGCCCAAGTCTTCATGCTACACATCTAATGCATCAGGAAGCCATTCTGTTCTGTCTGGAGACCCCACACAGGGTCTGGACATGTCTTCTTTCCTGCTCTGGCACCACTGGTCTGAGTCACCACCATCTCCTGTCCTAGTTACTGGCACTCACCTTCTAGCTGTTCTTCCTGCTTTTCTGTCCATGTTCCCTTTCCAGGCTGTTCTTAGCATGACAGCAGAGCACCCTCTGGCAGCCTCTCACAATTGTCCAGTCATTCCCTTCCCGTCTGTATGGGAAGTAGACTCTGTGCCCCTTTTGCCACACGCATGTCCTCCCTTGTCGTGACTGGTATCCTGCTCCACCTGACTCTGCAGTGCTATTACCACTCTATGTGCCCCTACAAGTGCTGGCCCTTTGTACTCATTGTGCCCTCTGCTTCTGGTGGCTCCCCTGGATGCTCCCCTTCTGGTGAACCCTTCCTGACCTCTGTGGTTAAGATGACCTCCCACCTCTGTCATACAGCCTTTTTATCCCCTTTCCACTTTGTTTTTCTCCATAACATTTATGTCCTTCTCACATGCCATATATTTTATTTTGGTACCAGGGTTCAAACTCAGGACCTTGTGCTTGCCAGGCAGGCACAGTGCCACTGAGCTACCTCCCGCCCTTGCCATATTGAACTCAGGTCCTTGAGCTTGCAAGGCAGGCCACCGAACCGCTGAGCTAAATCCCCAGCTCCCCACCATATATTTTCTAATGTCTTATGAAACTATTCACATGTACAGGAAAATTGAGAGACCAAGACAGTAAGCTCAAATGCATCCCCATGCCCAATATTTGTTAAGTTTGCCATCTTTTTAACCAATGCAACTGAAAGTAAGTTGCACAAATTCTTACCCCTAAATTGTTTCTCATGTATCTCCTAACAGTCATGACCTTCTTCTCTATAGTGATAGTATCACACTTGAGACAATAAAAATCAATTCCTTGATGTTATCTGGTATCTAGACCATGTTCCAAATTTCCCAATTATCCTAAAAATGTCACTTATAGCTGATATCCTCCCTCCACCCACCCCGTACTGGGGATTGAACTCGACCTTGCGCTTCCAAGGCAAGCATGGTGCCACTGAGCTAAATCCTTGGCCCATAGCTGACTTTTTTTTTTTTTAAACAAGGCCTGGCTAAAGCACATATGCGTTGTTTTTGGTTTGTAAGACTACTGTAACCCAGAAGATTCTCCTACATACATGCATGTGTGTATGTTTGTGTGTGTGGGGGTGCTGAGGATGGAACACAGGGCCTTGCTATGCTAGGCAAGAAGAGCTATAGTACTGAGCTGTATCCCCAACTCTTTAAAACATTTTTTTCTCTCTCTCTTTTTTTTTTTTTTGGTTTCTTGAGACAGGGTCTCACTATGTAGTTGAGACTGACCTGGAACTCACTATGTAGCCCAGGCTGCTCTCGAACTCACAGCGATCCTCCTGCCTCAGCCTCCCAAGTACTGGAATTACAGGCGTGTGCCACCATGCCGGCTAAAACATATTTTTCTTTTGAATCCGGGTCTCTCGCTAGGTTGCCTAGGCTGGCCTTGAAGTCACAGTCCCCTTGCATTAGCTTCAACATTGACTTTTTTTTGGTACTGGGGATCAAACTCAGGACCCTGTGCTTGTGAGGCAGGCACAGTGCCACTGAGCTAAATCCCTGGCGAACATTGACTTTTAAAAAGAGACTGAGCCAGTTGTCTTATGTTATATTCCCCATACTAGATTTGTCTGAATATTTCCTTGTGGTGTGTCATTCAACTTGTTCCTCGACTCCTTGTATTTTTCACAATCTGGACGTTAGATCTAAAGTATTGTTGGTTAAATTTAGGTCAAGTATGTTTGGCCAAAATCTTTCCTGGACAGGGCTGTGAATTTTGTATCACATCAGGAGATGAGTAAGCTTCAGGTTGTTTCATTTCTAGTGAGGCTGCATTTGGCTTCTTGGTTAATGTGAGGACTACTGGATTTTCCACTGTAAAAGACTTATTTCCTTCTCAGGTAGCAAGTAGTCTGTGGATGGTTCTTTGGAACATTTTATTTATTTATTCATTCATTTATTCATTTATTTATTTATTTATTGAGAGACAGGGTCTCACTATGTAGTTGAGACTGACCTGGAACTCGCTGGGTAGCCCAGGCTGGTCTCACAGCGATCCTCCTGCCTCAGCCTCCCAAGTGCTGGGATTACAGGTGTATACCACCACACCCGGCTTGGAATATTTTACTTATTTATTTTACATACTCACACTGTTTATTCTGTCTCCCCACCAAGACACTGGGGAGCTGGGATTAGAACCAGACTGCCTGACAGTAGCCATACCTCACCTTTGCTCAGCACCTGGATCTTGCTTGTCTGGCATTGTGGATGACAGGTGTCTGTTCTGTTAGTGTGTGAGCTTATCAGAGGCAGTAACTTTGCTGCCACAGCCTCTACTTACTCCTGTGGTGCTGGGGATGAGACCCAGGGCCTCACACATGTTAAGCAGATGCTGTCCACATGGGCTATATTCCCAGTTCTGTCTTAGGCATCTTTATAGCCTTCACAGTGCTTGGATTCATAATAGCTGACATTTGTTCTATCACTACCCCTCCACCCCCCAAGAAACATAACCTCTAGAGTTACTAGCACTGGGTATAAGAGTTGAGGAGGATCTTAGGGGGTGAAGGGAGAGCAGGGGTATGGGGAAAAATGAGAACCAAGATCTGTCATGTAAAGGTACAAGATCCCAGTGATGAAAGTACTGTATACCTAAAAAATACCAATAAACTCAATGAAAAAAAAAAGTTGAGGATCTTAGGGGGACTGTAGACTATAGGCTCAAGTCCTCTTAGATGCAGGAAATGTTCAGTGGAAGGCTTCTTGAGCACATGTTTTGTTCCATCATTGCCAGCCACAATGAGCAAGTCTTCAGAGACCCGTGGACACCCCCACAGTGTCAGCTCCCCTTCAGAACGGGTGTTCTCCATACCCCTGCCGAAGAAGGCCCCTCTCAATACCCCTGGCACCCCGGTCCTTGAGGACTTTCCCCAGAATGATGATGAGAAGGAGCGACTACAGCGGAGGCGCTCCAGGGTCTTTGACCTGCAGTTCAGCACAGACTCGCCTCACCTCCTCGCCTCCCCCTCCAGCAGGTGATGGGTTTTGCGGTTGCTCTTTTCCACATGGCCACCTTGGGTGGGCTGCATGGGTCTTGGCATCTTCACAATGGATTCTGAGTCTGGGTTTTGAAGAGGAACATATTGTGGGTCATTGTTGAGGGTTTTTGTTTGTATCCATTTAGGAATGTCGATGTTTCAGCTACAACTCCTAAGTTTACAAACACGCAGATTACAGAACATTACTCCACCTGTATCAAGCTGTCCACTGAAAATGTGAGTATTTGCTGTCTTGTCACCATAGATTTTACATCTTGATCACGAGAAAACCTAGCTTTCTTGAATCTGTGGAAAATGTGTAAAAGTTACTGTTTTCTGTAATGTGTTCCCTGGTACTCATGTCACTAAGAATCCTCTGTACAGGTGACCTGCTACCTGTTTGTATTTAAAGAGGAGCATGGCCCAGGGTCAGTGTGCATTTTGGACCAGCCAAAGTGGAGGCCTGTCTCCTGTCTGCCACCTAGAAGCTGTGTGACTGATGAGTCACCTGTTGCTCTGCTGCATCTCCCCACCCTTTTGGTTTTTGAAATGGTCTTGCTGTGTAGTTCAGGCTGGACTTTAACTCACTGTAGCCTAGGCTGCCCTCGAACTCATAGTGATGCTCCTGCCTCAGCCTCCTGAGTGCTGGATTACAGGCATGTACCATTGAACCCACCTTCCTCCTAAGTGAGAATAAGGACAGTGCCTGCTTTGTAGAGCTTTTCAGTTTGTGATTATGTGTTCTCGCCTTGAGAAGGAGGAGGAAGCATGTGTTTGTATATGTGGTTTGGTCAAGTGTTTGTGAAAATTGAGATGGGGTGGGAAGTGGATAGCCTGAATAAAAACTTAGTTTCTGAATTTAGATAAACATCATCACATGAGCTGAGGCTCTAAATAATAAACCTTGCTGCAATTTTCTGTTTCCAGAAAATCACTACAAAGAATGCTTTCGGCTTGCACTTGATTGATTTCATGTCAGAGATCCTTAAACAGAAGGACACTGAACCGACCAACTTTAAAGTAAGAAGGATTTGCACTTCTTTTTATTTTTATTTTTATTTTATATTTTTTTGAGACAGGGTCTCACTATGTAGTTGAGACTGACCTGGAACTCACTGTGTAGCCCAGGCTGGTCTCAAACTCATAGCAATCCTCCTGCCTCAGCCTACCATGCGCCACCAAGCCCGGCTTGCACTTCTTTTTATATCTAATTAAAGTTGCTTCTGAATTCAATGAGTACAAAAGAGCCTACCAGATGAGACATTATAGTAGCTACTTTACTTTCTTTCCTCAGGGGATGAATCACAGAGATGACAGATGTTGTGTTTACTCCCCACCGGTCTCTCTCATTTTTCTTGGGACTTGCAAATGTTTTATGAAACTTGGTTTTGCCTGTTGTGAAGTGCTTTTTTTTCCCCCTCTTTATGAATTTAAGTTCTGCTGGTTTGATTAGGTAGCTGCTGGTACACTGGATGCCAGCACCAAGATCTATGCTGTACGAGTAGATGTTGTCCATGCTGATACATACAGAGTCCTGGGGGGGCTCGGCAAGGATGCCCCATCTCCAGAAGACGAGGAGGACCCTGGTGCAGGTGTGTGGGCTGGGATCTGGACTTAAGGATCCTTTAGGGTACACCAGGTAGTTCTGTGAGTGATACATTGGAGTGAAGTCACAAGAAATCAGTTATTCTTTGGAAGATAAGGGCATTTTCGGAATTATTTATCAATGACTCTTCTCACCTTGGTTTCTTTTGGGCCTTTGTCATTGTTCCTCTGTAAGGTGATCTGTTTGGCAATACAAAAAATTTCTTGGAAAAAGATGAGGACCTTATGAAAGCTTTTAGATTTTGTTTAGGCAAGGTTGAGTAAACATGACCAACTAACTAGAGAGCTTCTGACTTGGGGTAGTCTTTGGAAATTGACTTACATTAAAAGCCAAATACTTATTCTGATAATTCAGTTTCCCCATAAGCTATAGATTAGACAGGGCCTGCTGCTTTGAGTGAATTTCTCATGTTTCAATTATGACCACTCTTGAGGGATTTGAGGAACTTGAAAGCAGTCCCTGTAGTACACAATCTTATTCCTTCTTTTAGATGGAAGTGCTACCGAAACAAGATCAACCAAAAAGCCTCCAAAACCAAAGAAGAAGCATTCCTATAAAACCATTGAGCAGAATTTAAACAACCTCAATGTCTCTGAAGCGGATCGAAAGTATGCGGTGAGGAAGTGTTTCCCTGCAGCATGGGCTTTGACTCACTCAGAACCTTGGGCTGGTCCTTCCTGCTGGTCTGGGCTCTCATAAGCCTCAGGTAGTGAAATATTTAGCTGGTTTCTCCTTTAGCATCATGAGCTTTATAATGAAGTTGGAGTGGTAAATCTTTCAGAGTACTTGAGTAGAAAGAGATTGCAAGTTACTGAGGAATCTGGTTAGAAATTTTAGCTTTATTTATTAGTACACACAGCAGTGGTAAGGATAGTTAACATTTGCTGTACACATAATGGGTTCAGGTGCTTTCCTAAGCAATCCCAGAACCATCGCATCATACTTGTTACATCTAGTGAAGGGTAACTGAGGTGCACTGGCTAGGTAATGTGCCCAGGAGATGCATCTAGTGAGTGAACTAGGACTAGAAGCTGAATGGCCTTACTTAAGGAACCTGCTTCAAGAAATAGTCTTGAAGGACTTTAAACACCAGTAAAGCAAATGGTTTTGGTGTTGCTCCACCTTTTTTTTCCTCCCAAAATTTTGTTATTAAAAACATTTTTTTCCTCATTGAGTTTATTGGTACATTTTAGGTATACAGTACAGTTACATTCATTATTAGGATCTTGTATGTTTACATGACAGGTCTTGGTTCTCATTTTTTCCCCTTGCCCCTGCCCTCCCTTCACCCTCTCCTCCCCTCCCCAATTACAAACACTTTATTTCCATTTAAAAACATTTTTTGGGACCAGGGATTTAGCTCAGTGGCGCCATGCCTGCCTCTGAAGTACAAGGTTCTGAGTTTGCTCCCCGGTACCAAAATTTTATTTTTTAAGAGCTGAGGCTCTAGCCCAGCATGTAGAAATGCCCTTACATCCTGGAAGTCCCCTGTCATAAGTGTCTTTAGTTGCGCCTTGTGGCTGCCTCTATCTCACAAATGGATTTAAAACGTTTGCCTGTTGTGGTCATTTTGACTTAGAGAAAGAAGCGGAAATAACATAGGAGGCTGGGCATGGTGGTGCACTCCTGTAATCCCAGCACTTGGGAGGCTGAGACAAGAAGATCACTGTGAGTTTGAGGCCAGCGTAGGGCTACATATTGAGTTCAAGGCTAGTCTGAACTACATAGTGAGACCCTATCTCAAACAACTACAAAAAAGAAGTTGTATAAGTCCAAGTCTGGTGAGTAAGGGATGAGGGCACACTATAATGTTTTTATGACCCTGCCTTTCTTTTGGATGGTACCTGGTAGCAGCAGTCACTGTATTTTTTATTACACTTCATAAACACACTCATAAAAGAGGCCTTCAGGAATAGCTTCAGAAAATGGCAGGAGCGACGGGATAAGTATACTCAAAGTAAGGGGAAGTGCTTTGAGGGGGATTAATACATTTTAAAAATGTAAACATACGCTGTATATTTTGATCACCTTTATGTATTCTCAGCTGTTTTATTTTGAGACAGTCTCACTGCCCAGACTGGCCTTGAACATGACATGTGCCACCATGCCCAGTCATCCTGGCTTCTTGAGCAGAATACTGCCCACATACTGCCCCTTTTCCACTACGATTTGCTTGAGTAGTTAGAAGGCCCCTCCTGCCTTGATCTTGAGCAGACACATTTCAGTCCTATATGTACCCATGCCAGCACCCAGTTTGTGTTTCCTCATCCGTGATTTCCATCTCTTCTCGTATCAGGTGGATCCCATGTTTCAGAAGACCGCCGCCTCATTTGATGAGTGCAGCACAGTGGGGGTGTTTCTCTCCACCCTACACTGCCAGGACTACCGGAGTGAGCTGCTGTTCCCTTCTGACGTCCAACCTCTCTCCACTGGCGAGCCCCTTGAGCTCCCAGATTTGGGCTGGGTTGAGATGACAGATCTGAAAGGTTAGCACCAGCCATGCCTGTCACTAGAGTTTCACCTAACTGTAGGTATGGCCACCAGGCACTTGCGCTGACTCTTTTACGGAGTGTCCTTTAGCAGCACCTAGCGCTGCAGGTATGGTGTCTGACCAGTAACCCAGGCTTCTCCAGGTCAGTGCACCTCATCCCTGGGATGCCTACTGTTCCCAGCAAGTTCTTGTGGCACAGTCTCAGCCTGGATGTTAGAGTGGGATGTGGGAAAGGAGCTTAAAGAGACCTGTCTGTCCTCATTTACTACAAGTCCAGGAGGCCTCAAGGAAGAGAGGATGCTGACAGCTGTTTTCAGATAGATCCCCGTAGCAGTCCAAGGACTGACCTGATTGTTAGTCCTGTTAGACCAGCTTGGCAAGATTTGAGTGCACACCCATTCCACTGTTCATCCCAACCCTGGGGTCCTTGAAGGGTGCAGGGACAGGGAGCAGGCCCTGTGAAGGCCAGATGCAGGGCTGCAAGAGCTGCACTTGTCTATTTTTTGTTTTCCTTGTACTGGGGATTGAGCCTAGGGCCTTTTCATTAAGCTATATTCTCAGTGTTTCTTTTATTTTTAATTTTAACACAGAGTCTTCATAAGTTGCCCAAAGTGGGCTCTAACTTAAAATCCTCCTGCCTCAGCCTCCAAGAAAGCAGTGATCATAAGTGTGTGTCTTCACCCCTGGTTCTGTGGTCATTTTTTACGAGTTGGATGATGGTGACCCTTCCCCTTTAAGTAGAACCATGCAGGTTTTATAACACTCATTCTTGTCCTTTCAGTTCTTGCCTAGATTTTGCTGAGTATAACTGTTTGGGGCTGACCATCTGTTTTCCATACTTTCTGCCTACAGCTGGCTCTGATCCTCTGAGGTAGATGAGTTTGGGACCAAAAATAAGCACTATCACATGATTACTTATATGCTCAGCATGCTTTAGAGGAAGAATTGTTGGTTTCCCCCATAGTGTAGGGCAAGAGTTCATTTTAGAATCAACCATCTGTTCTTTAGGCTTTTCCTGTAGTGTTTTGCTAACTCTGGAAATGACTGTGCATAGCCTAGCACGCTGTGGGGTGTCCCTGTGCTGCTGCTTGTTCCCAGAGAGCAATCAGCAAGCACACAGATTGGCAGCCTGCCTGGCCTCTGCTGGAGAACAGTGAGGTGACTGTCCTCCCGTCTCCATGGTGCCCCTCGGAGGGAGACATGCAGGAGACTGTGGAATGCACCTGCCCCGCTGACCTCTGCTCTCACTGTGTTCCCCTCCAGCACCCTTGCAGCAGTGTGTGGAAAATTGCCAGCTCTGCCCTTCCCTGGCCGGCTTCCAGTTCACCAAGTGGGACAGTGAGACGCATACTGAGGTGTGTTTGGTGGTGCTTGGAAGGGCTCCAGGCCTGCCTTCAGGGGTCGCAGTTTCGATTAAACAGCTCAAGATTAGTTCTGCCCAGTGGGAACCAAAACTGGCATCATTTTATTTAACTAGGAGGACAGAAAATATTTCTGTTGGCACTTCTGTAGGGCTGGGTTAGGGTGGAATGGTGGACCACTAGGTGGCCATGCCCTTTGTGAATGAACTTTTTTTGTATGTGTGTGGTGTTGTGGATGGAATCCAGGGTCTTACACATGCTAGGTAAGCATTCTGCACTGAGCTATTTCCCTAGACCTATTAAAATTTTATTTTAAGATACCATTCTCTCCAAGTTGCCTAGGCTGGCTTTGAATTTGGAATTCTCCTGCCTCAGCCTCTCAAGTAGCTGGCCTTACAGGCATGCACCACCACACCTGGCATGTGTGAACTATTTTTATCAGATTTACTTTCAAACATGGTTATTCCAGTGGCCTCGGATCTCAGGCTGCTCTCGGCTTCAGGCATTTCCTGCTTGTTGAGGTTGAGTCCCTTGGCACACAGTTTTCCTGAGAAATTGTCATGTGTGAGGGCTTCTTTGGTATATTTTTAGCGCGGTCCCCTTTAGCCTCCTTACCACAACTTCCAAAATAAACAGTCTCCATGGAAAACTGTTTTCTCTACATATGCAGTTAATGGGTGCAGATTCCTGTTTCATGTTTTGCAAAACATGCCTGACAATGCAGCCTCATCCTGTACTGCACAATATAAATTTTCTCAGTGCCTGGCTCTCCGGAGAGCACTGGCTTTGGGAGGCACAGGGAGGGGGGTGACAAAGGGTGAGGAGAGGGCTGGACGCCGGAGCGCGGGCAGAGCTGGGGCAGTCATGGCCAGAGAACCCTCTCTCGTCCCTACAGTCTGTGTCAGCTCTGGTAGACAAGTTCAAGAAGAGTGACCAGGTGTTTGATGTCGACGCCGAGGTTGAGGAGAGTGATGGCGGGGACTTCCTCGATGGGCCCCTGGAGGATGACTTTGATGCCAATGATGAGCCTGAGCACACTGCAACAGGGGACCATGAAGAGTTCAGGAGCTGGAAGGAGCCCTGCCAGATCCAGAGCTGCCAGTAAGGCTCTCAGGGTCCTAGAAAGCTTTCCCAGAGGCGTGCCCGGTCTGGTCTGAACAGGTCTCCTTCAGGGAGATGAGACTTTGTCTCTGATTGGCTGGGCCAGTGGGCTGTGATGTGCATATCTGTGGAGCCCTGTGCCTGACAGGAATCAGCACCTGGTTTGTGTGTTGTCTAGGCCACTTTGGTTATCAAACACACTGCAGGAACTAGTAAGGACAAGAATGATTTGATACTGGGAAAAGTACCTGGAACCTAAGCTGGGCGTGGTGGCACCCATACTCCCAGCTAGTTGAGAGGCTAACATAGGAAGATTAAAAGGTCAAGCCCAGTCTGGATAACTTAGCAAGACCCTGTCTCAAAAATAAGAAGGGCTGGAGATATAGTTTGCTGGTAGAGCACTGGCCTGGCATGGATGAGGCCTTGGGTTCAATTCCTAAACTGCAAAAATGAAACAGTGTACCTGGTATGTAGTAGCTATGCCAATGTGTCTGTCATTCCCACTTGTTTGTGCTAGTGGAGAGGGTGATCCTTTTCACACATTGTACATATGCTGGCTTCGGCCATGTCACTGCATGTTAGTTGCAGACATTAGCAGGCAGATGACTTGCTTTCACAATGAGGTAGCGGTTGCCAGAGAGGTAAGCAGATGGCTGGGCAGTGCTGGTTACGAAGTGGGCTGGCTGGGGGTGAGCCAAATAGAGCTAAATACATGCAATCAAGCATGTTGGGGAGTGCTTGGAGGGTTGTAGAACTGAGTAAGTGTTATAAGAAAAGATGTGAAAACTTGGTTGGCCTTCATTAGATTTACTTGATGGGTCAGTATTATTTAATTTTCAACATGACTGGAAGCAGGATCTCACAACCCCCCAGAAGTCCTGAATGGGCCAGGAGCTCAGAGTTCCTCTGTTAACTCCTCTGTCCACAACTGCAGCTCTGCAGGCCTGGGGTTGGGAACAGTCAAGCTGGTGTCATTTGGGCAAAGCCTCGAGTGTTTATCAGTGTCATTTCCCAGCAGGTCACTGTCTGTTTGAGAGCACTGCTTGAGGGCCTCCAGGGTGGGCCTCTTGAGCTCAGCTTGCCTGCCCTGGTGGGAAATGGCTAGGTTGATAATGAGTCCCAGAATTGGAGTAGAAATTTGGAGGCCTGAACATCTGAAGGCAGCTCAGGGTGAGAGTTGCCCATCCAGGCCTATTAGCCTCTCTTCTGACTTATCAGCTGACTTAGCTTTCATTTGCCTGTTCCCAGCCTGTCTGCCAAGAGGTAAGGATGGCAGGCAGGCAGGTGGGAGTGGGGGTGAGCTCTTCTAACACCACAGTTATGCATCAGAGAAAAGCACTCACATTTCCTGCTGACTGTTTGGACAAATGTCTCCATTTCTCCAGATTCCAAACAGCAACAGATCTTGGGCTCTGTCCTCCTAAGTGTGTTTGGGCAGGAGGCTGTGGCTCTGGAGTAGATCTAACCCTGCCAGAGAGCTGTGAGGTATGAGTATTGTCATTGCCTTTGGGTTTCTTCTTCATAAAATGAAGGGCTGGGACTAGATGAGAATCATCATCTTTGAGCAAGGTGGAGATGTTGCTCAGGTAGAGTGTGCGCCTAGCATGTTCAGTCCCTGGTACTGCAAAACAGAACTGATATTTTTTTCAGCCCCTTATTCTAACTTTGTGCCAGACACTATGCCAGTGCCTCAGTATTTCTCATCAATTATATAGTGCATAAAAACATAATTGTCTAATCTTGCTCAGCTCTGTAACTGGGTGCTATTGTCCCCTCTTACCCGTTAGGAAACAGGCTCAGAGGTGGCGTGTGGAATAGAGCTCTCAACACCCAGCACAGCAGACCAGACTTCTGTGGGGGGGGGGAGCTTTTGATGGTAGCTTCCACTCCAGACAGGGATTGCCTTGCACTTTTCACACCTCCTAGGTGTATCCAGGTTTAATCCACTGAAGTGAAAGATTATCAGGGGCTCAAAGTGGGTTGGGGGCAGTGCCAGCTGATAATCTCACTGTCAGGTAGGAGCCAGCACATTGCTCGTCTGGCTGGCAAGTAATACAGTGGACTGACTGCACCAGGGCTGAAGTGCAGGAGGGCCCCTGTGATGTTGAGAGGTGTTAGGAGAGAGTACCCTGGCAGGGTTGCAGGCCTGTGGAGGGGCAGGCTGTGACCATATTCTCCTAGCTATTGAGTGGGGACTCCTTTGTAGAGCTTTCTTAGGTTGCCAGGGTATCTGGAGTGGGTATCGCCACCCTCACCTTTAGCAGGCAGCACAGCCCTTGAGGACAGAGCTGCTGCACTATTCTAGCTCCTTGGAGAAGGGTGAAAACCTAAACTGAAAAGGCAACACTGCATGTCACACTAGGCAAAGAATAAAGCTAAAGACCCAGCATGACAGGCCCCTGAAAGTGTTTGGAGGGCTAGAAGTGATACTAGCATAACACCTTTTTCACTGTTAGTAGGGACTATAGCAGTGTCTCCCAGTGCTCTCAGCCATGGGAAGAAAGAATGGAGGACTCATGGTGCATGGCGTGAGGCTGGGATTCAGGGAATTGATCCTAGCTCTCAACTCTCACATTTTACTACCTGTGTAGTCTTACACAGAAACTTAATTCTCAGGAAAAATATAAACACACTACTTAATTTCTCTGTACTTCTTTAGTAGTCTCTCAGATTAGCATTTTTATGAAGGAATTTGAAACATCCCAAGTACTTGTATAGACATGAACATATGTTATAAAATTAAGAGAAACAAATGCACTGGAAAAGTAAGGATTAGGGGATTGTTAATAATGAAGGATTTATTTTGGAATTGCTCTGAGAAATGCTGTTCACTGTGGGACAGTGGGTAGCACACAGTAACCTTGTATGCTTCCTTACATGTAAATACATGGTTGTGTGGTATGTAACGTTTATGCTTTCATGTGTGTTACAGGGAAGAAATGATTTCCCTTGGGGATGGAGACATTCGGACCATGTGTCCCCTTCTGTCCATGAAACCTGGAGAATATTCCTACTTCAGTCCCCGGACCATGAAGATGTGGGCTGGCCCCGATCACTGGCGCTTTCGGCCTCGACACAAACGTATGTGCTTCTGGGTGGACCCTCGGGACAAGAAGCAGTACAGATGACCAGCTAGTCAGCCACCAGCTGGGGATAGGAAATACTGACCACTGTCACAGATGAGTTGGCATGGGATGAGGGTCAGTTAAATCTGCGGGCTCTGAGCAGGAAGAGTTAAGGTCCTGGGTTCAGAAAGACTGGGCTCATGGGCTCAGGCTACTCTCGAGGAGTGTCAGCCTCGCTTGAAGCCATGGAGGTTACTACCCAACCGGAAGCACACAGAGAGTCACTGCGAGGGCAGCACTTGGCCTTCTGGCCCAGTCTTGCATGCTGTGTCCTAAGGTAAGACTCACCATATGTGTTGGATGTGTTTTGTGAGTGCAGCATGAATTCTGTAGTTCAGGATGGAAGTGGGTATGATGCAGGATCCAGATGGGAGCTGCTCGGCTGCAGTGTTTCAGCTGATGCAGCTGTCAAGGTCTCATGAAATGAGGTGATTTAGCCTACAGCAGTGAGTAGTGAGACTTTGTTTCTTCCTGCAGAAGACACCACCTCCCAGTCAGAGACCAGGAAGAGGAGTACAAAGAAAGATTTTGAGATAGACTTTGATGAAGATATTGACTTTGATGTATATTTTCGAAAATCAAAGGTTTGTACTGGGTTCATTGTGTGTGCTTAAATTACTCTGTGCACCTCTTTTCCTTCCAGATGTTAGTTAACTGAAACCTGACTGTTTCGCTCTCCCATATCCCTAAAGGAGCTGTTGAGAAGTGGTTTGGGCAGGGATAGAGGAGTCACCTATAGAACAATGTGGAGAATGCCTGGCAAACTTTACTTAGCTGTGGCATCTCTGATGGTGGACTGATGCTGCCCAAGCTTCTTAAAAAAAGAAAAACAGGTATTTGACCATTGTTATTAAAAATGCCTAAAAACTTACTTGTTTTAAATAAACAGGCGGCTACTGTTCTGAGCAAGTCCACCCTGGAGAACCAGAACTACAGAGCTACCACTCTTCCTACGGATTTCCACTACAAGATCGATACCCTTGTCCAGCTGCATCTCAAACCAGGCCTGAGGGTGAGGCCATCTTGGATTTTTTTATGGCATGCATGCTGAAAAGTAGCTGGTGGCATGACTGTCCAGTAGGACCACTCAGGAGAGGACACAAGGAAAGACATCTGTCAGCCAGGGGGCCGGGCACAGTGGCACCTACCAGTGTCCCGGCACTTTGGAAGTCTGAAGCATTAGGATAGCAAGTTTGAGTCCTGTTTGCATAACTTAGACCCTGTCTCAAAAAATATAACAAGAGCTGGAGGTGTAGCTCCTTGCAGAAGCCCTGAGTTCAATCCCCAATACAAAAAAAAAGAACAAAGAAGGAAAGAAAGAAATAGCTCAAGTGCTGGGCACTAGGGTGAGTGATTGCACAGTCTTGTTGAGATTTCAAAAACTTAATAGTTTTTCATGATTCTCTGGCTTTCTTGTGGAAGCTGTGGAGTTGCTTGCCCAGTGCTTTACACAGTCCACTGCCTTGCTCATGATTCAAGTATAGAAGGGAGCTGCAGTGACATGGGGTAAAGTTCTTAAGTGCACCTGCCCAGGCTCCACCTAGGACTGTCCTAAGCATCTAGACTGCCTGGTCTCATCCCCTCATTTCTGCCTGCCTCTTGGCCTGTGGCTCCTCTCGTGGTACTAGTAGCATTGGACAAGGGGAGTTCCTGTCAACAGTTGCAGAGCAAGACTGAGCCATGGCAGGTGCACACACTCCCACCAAGCCTAGCCTCATGGGGCGGCTGCTTCTCAGGACCTTATGTAGAGGAACTGCTGTGTGCAGACAGGTAGGTTGTTAGTATTTAATATGTCTGAACTTGTATTACAAGTCCATTGTTTTGTTTTGTTTCTGAACTACAGAAAATTGTGGAATTACATTAAAATATTTAGTAGACCTGCATTCACCTGTCTGAGTGCAGACCACTGGTATAAGGACCCACAGATGCCCAGAGGGCTGTGATCAGCGGCCTCCTGAAGGAGACCACGGTTCTGTGAGGCCATGGGTGTTACCAGGGAAGGGAATGAGGCAGCCACCTGTGAATTTTCATCACAATCGGTCAAGTGGGACAGGTGGCTGTGGGCAGGGGCTTCCAACCTTTGACTTTAGTACAGGACGCATTTTTTCACAAAAACCTGTATAGAAGGTGTCATTGAAGTCAGAAGCAGGGCTGCTGTGGAGGCTCTGGATCCTTCCCTGCTGTGGAGAGATGACATGTGGACAGCTGTGATTCTGGGAGGATCTTGGACATAGGAACCAAGCTTGACTTCCCCAACTTAGTGCAGTAACTGCTTGTCTAGAAATTGCTTTTTGAATGTTTTTGTTCTTTCCTTTCTTTAGTTACTTAAGATGGACCAGCGCCAGAAGACAGGGACTGAGCACTATGAAGAAATTGGGGACTATGACTACAACAACCCCAATGACACCTCCAACTTTTGCCCTGGGCTCCAGGTAAATGAGATGCTTTCTTCCCTGATTCCTGCCTCCCCTTCCATATGGCAGAGCTGGTGGGTTCTCTGGGTATATGTTCTGTCCTCTGTGCTCGCCTGCATCTGGGAATTGCTGGGCACCCCTGGTAATGAGTCAGTACACAGGTGGAATCATTTGCCTGGGGCATGAACACCTGTCTCACCTATGTGGGAGTTTCCCAGGAGTAGGAACACTCTTCCTGTTCTCAAGAGTCAGTGTTCTGGCTGAGTTAAACACACACACACACACAC